CTGGTAGCTGTGGCTCGGTTTCATGGCTCCCTGGCTCCGGAAAATGCCGCAAGTAATATGCGGTTGTCTCATTGGCTGGGAAGTGCGCGCAGATACACAATGGAGGAAAATAAGTCATTCGGAATCCAGTCCAGAGCTAAGAATAAGCCGGTGACGAGGAAGAGTATCTGAAGAGATCCATGGCAGCCAGATCTGCAAATAACATCGAGCCTCCTAGCACTTAGGAACCAAGAAAGACGGTACAGACCATTTGAGACCGGCAAGATATTGAGGGACGAATATTTTATTGAAGGACTGAGATCAAAATTGCCCAGTGCGTTCAGCCAGAAAGGGGAGCGAACAGGTGCGAAATTAGACAAAGAGGGGAAACAATATTGCTCGCGAGATAATTAGGTTGGGAGATGCTGATCACGACGGCTGTCAGGAAGAGACTGAAGAGTCTTGATGTTATAGACAATAGGGCGCGACATCTAGAGCTTGGAGATGGGAATGTTCAGAGATTGGGACGACAGGAATCCGAGAAAGGCAATCCCGGGCTCGGTCTTGATTTGGGGAGAAGCAGTAGATTGAGCGTCCGGGGTGCGACTCGGAGAGAAGTGGGCGAAATAATCAAGGGTCCGACGAATAGGAATACTGCCTCCGTATATCTTGCTGGGACACTACGTACCAGCCGGCTTGATCAGAATCTTTGGGCTGCGCTGTAGGCCATAGCTGCTGCGATGAACAGCAGTGTGAGAAACGCCGGTCAGCTGTCGAGCATTATGGAGCCTCCGAGTGTAAAATTAAACTGCGCACGCCGCAGAATGGATAGGTCGAAGGACGAAGAGAGAGCCAAACGAAAGGATATGAGCTCGTTGAGGATGTGCGCAAAGAGATACGAAGAAGCACCGAGGTAATCGTTAAGGAATGGTTAATCAATCGATGATACGGCCACAGTGAGGATTGCGAAAGGATGGTGACCGCGGCACAGTGAGAAACCTGCTGCCAGAACCTGCGATGGTCTGGGGATCGGGCAACAGAAGGTCAGACGAGTCGTTTGCATCGGCGGACTATATTCATTCGCAAGGCCACAAGCCGGATGTGCGCAAGCAGGCATGTGGTTAAGTACCATGGTAGAGGCGACAATTGAGAGACAATCGCGGAAAATCAACAGGAATAAACAGATGCACAGCCACGACGCTTTTCTTTCTTGCCACTCCAGCCCTCGCGCCAAGGCAACGCAATGCCGTCCGCTTCCGGATCGGGATCCGACTGGGACCAAGGCGCACCGTCTGTGGGTCTGTCTCCTAGCTTGCTAGACCGATGCTTATCGAGTAGAAATAGACGGAGGCCCATGCGCGCCGTGGACAGCCTGGCCCGAAGACGAAGAGAAAGACGGCGCCGCTCCCCGTGTCGGACGACTGGGAAGACGACGATGACGACGATGGCGATGGCGATGACCGGGAGGTTGTGAACGAGGACGAGGATCGGGATGAGGATTGGGCGCGGGGTGCGGGAGATAACCCCAATCAGCGGATATGGCGGGATGCGTGCGTCGGCTTTGCTCTTCTACTCGCGCTGCGATGGTAATTATCACCCACCCTCCTTGTAGCAATGCCCAAGCGCCCATGCCCGCACTCATCCTGTCTGCGTCGTCCACGTCCAGCACGCACCACACGCCCGCTCCGCCCGCCGCCGCGCTCCAGCCCGCCATGCGCATCCTCAAGCGCCCGTCGCCCACCGGGCCCGTCGTCCCGGCGGCGGCTCCCGTCGCCGGGGAGACGCTGAAGGAAAGGGAGGCGAGGTATCAAGCTGCGCGGGATCGGATATTCGGTGAGGCGGACGCGACGGGCGCGGCGAAGAAAGACAAGGCCGGCGGCGTGGTCCGCAACCCCAAGGGCCCGGACACTGACACCGATGGCACGACGCCGCCACGCGGATTCGGCACGCGCAATCCTCCTGCGCCTCCTCGGCGTACCCCGTCGCACGACTCGAAGCCGTGACACCACCTCCGCCTTCCGTCAGCCGCGTACGTGCCACGCCCCTCGCCTTCCCGTTAATATGTGTCGACCTGCTGCTTACTTATAATCATAATCAACGCATTCACGCTTCACTTCACGGAAGAGTTCGCGCATGGGCGGGAAAACTCTTCGTCTTTATCACTTATCACTCTTCAGCTTCATCTAACCATCCTTCCCTCGTATTCTGGGTCCGTCCGCCGACCATACTTTTCGCTTGAGACCTCCGACTTGAAGAACCGCAATCCGTCCAGTCCTGCTGGCTTGGCGGTGTACGCACCATCACCCCACCCTTGGCACGATCACCAGCGCCCGCCGCCTTCCTCGCATGCCCGCCCTCGATCTCTCGCCTTCGCCTTCGCTGCCCCCGTCGTCCGTCGTCCGCAGGAGTCATTAACTACATCTTGAGTTTCGTGTTGTTTTCCTTTGCCAGGCAGCGGCGCGCCCTCACTTTATTCGCGGTTCCCATGAGTCCGAGGGAGTGGCCTTCGTTCTTTCTTGTTATCCCTTTCATCTATGCAATACAAGCAAAGGTGTAAGCACTCCTACCTACATTCAACGTGCAACCCGTGCATATAAGCGACTCGGTGGCGGGCGGTCCGCATCCATCATTCTTGCACATCTCCATCGACGTGAGCTGGAAGTTGCCTGTTCGACTCAGGCCCGAGTCATGGTTCCGGCACATTTGTTTGTTTTCTTGTCTGAACCTAGGACCGAGTCGTAATATGAATACTTATCTGCAGCGGTATTGGATCGTCCATATTGTATACTTATTGTATTATTTTTGATATCCCTTTCCGTTTCTACTGTAAGCTTGAGTCCACAGTAGACGGTCTACTTGCCCGTAATTTTTTTTTTTCATTTTCCTTACCTAATTCGAATCGAATATGGTACAAGTAATATCAATACTGAGCCTGCAGCGCCTTGGTGGTGGGCGGCCCCGCGTCCACAAATCCTGATTTCTGCGTCGACCGTTGCGCGTGGACATGCCCGTTCGACTCGGGCTCGAGGCAATTCGTTGATACCGTTTTTTTGCTTGGGTTGGCTCGGCACTGGGCAGTAGTCACTCGTAGACAGACATTTCATGTACCTCGGTATATAAAGGTGGGCAGTCACAGTGGCATCGCACAATAGTATCAGCCCGCTAATTATTAGCAGGTCTGACCAGTCTGTCTGAGGGACTGGAATGCGAGTCTACCCAACGGCGAAATGCAGCCTGAGGTGCGTATATCCACGCCCATGTGTATCTATGTCTTTTCCTTCCTCTGTAGTTTCCTCTATTTGAAAGAAACGGCTCAACATTTGGCGACACAGGTCCGCTTTATAATTTTATCCTTGGCGCGACGGCATATCTGATCAAATGTATACAATAAGGCAGTTCAACCTTCAACCCAAGCAGCGACCCGGTGGCGGTTGGTCCGCATCCACAGAACTTGAGTGATTCACCATCATGCCCTGGGTGAACGTGGAAGCTGCCTGTTCGAGTCAGGCCCGGGTCATGTTTTGTCCGCGTTCTTTTTCGCTCCACGTTGAGTTGGGTGGACAGGGGCGAACATTGGCGATACACAATGTTATTGCTGAGTGCGCAATAGTTATAGCGCAGAAGCCCAGACAGGTAGACGTATACACTTTCACTCAAGTGCGAATGCAGATTTGAATGGTAGCAAATGTATAGAGTTGGGTAGTTCAACCTTCATCCCTGGCAACGACTCGGTGCAGGGTGGTCCGCATCCACGAACCTTTCGCCAGCTCCAAATCTTTCACGGGAACTGCCTGTTCGACTCAGGCCCGGGTCATGTGTCTTCAAGGTTTGCTTTTAATTTGAGTTTGTCGGGTTTCCGATTAGCTGGGCAGGGCAAGTGGGACCGAACTCATTAATAATAATGTCGCCAGTCCGATGAGGTTTGACATATGGAGTCTCTCGTGGCGAGACAGGTGCCTTTCTATCCTTTGCTGGTCAAACCCAAGCCTATACAATTGGGAATCAGATACGGGTATAGGGAATACTGACCTTGCAGCGACTCGGTGGCGGACGGTCCGCATCCGTAACCATTACTTCTTCCCGCAATTCACGGGGAAACTGCCTGTTCGACTCAGGCCCGAGTCATAGATTATAAACGTCCATACTTTTCTTTTGCTCGGGAGCGGTGAGTGCACGTTCTTCTCCTTTCTAGGCTACGGTCCCACTTGCTGAGGCGTAGTCCGTTTTCACTGCGGGAGCTCATTTCTTTTCGAACAGGGATGATGATTGGGGCGGCGCAGAGACACAAAGGTTCTTATTACGCTTTTATAATTCGAGCGAAGCCACATTTGAGTGGGATGAGATGTATATACTTCATTCGCAGTTCAGTTTGGATGAGCTTGATATAGGTGGTGACCTGGAACGCTAACTCGTTATCCATTTCATTTTGATAATAGGGAAAGGTGCATCCGCAGTCCTACATTCGCCCTTCAACCACCCCGGACAGCGACTCGGTAGCGGGCGGTCCGCATTCCCGAACCTTACTAAGTCAGCCTTCCGGTGGGGGGACTGTCTGTTCGACTCAGGCCCGAGCCAGTCGGGGGATAGAAACGCTTTTTTGGGTGAGACAGTGGTGGGCGCGCTTTCTTTTTCTACTTCCCAGGCTACGGTCTCACGGCGGAGCTTGCTTGGTTTTCCTCGCTGGTCCGGGGACACGGCCTCTTTTGAACCGGAATGACGGTTACGCCGCGCAGAAATAGAGGTCCGGGCTTGGCGGAACGTGTGTATTCCTCGAGCGAAGGCGGTCATCAGATTCAGATAGAAAGTTCTCAGCCTCGCAGCGACTCGGTAGCGGGCGGTCCGCGTCCACGGAATATTGAGTCAAGGGGATACTTTTTTGTGAATGGCGGAACATACACTGGTTTTTGAAATTTTGAGATTTTCTGGAGCTGGCGCACGCCTCCCCCACTCTGACTTGCCTTAAAAGGAAAAAACCGGCTCAGATGCAGGTCTAGGGGGAGGGTAAATGTTCATTTGTGTCGGCGCTATGGTTGAGTGGTTAGCTTCCTCCTGCCATGTTGAACGGCATTTGCGGCGGTCCATGGTTCGATTCCCAGTGTGTGCTTTCGATATCCCTATGGTACAATTGTTTATTTTATTTTTTCTCAATTTTTCTTTATAATAGAAAATAAAAAATTCTTCACCACATATTGGCGCCGGCGCTGTTTCAACCGGACTTCGTGGTCCCTGGGGAAGGTCGGGGCGCATCTTCCTGACACTAGACTGATAAATACTGAAAATTGAACTGTGGGTGGGGTATATTTGGCTCCACAGTGACTCTGAGAGCCTACAAAGAGTGAATGAATCGCCTACCTAAATTGGTGCTGAGAAAAGCACTTCCCTCAGTGCTCTCTAATACTTAGCATCACTGTTTGACTGTTCAAAATAAAAATAAAAATCATGCTTTGCTTGGATTTAAAAGCCCATTAGGCAAAAGGAACTTTATTAAATCCAATTCTTCCAGTTTCCCTCAGCAATGAAATTTTTATGAAAGGTATACCCCACAATGGGCAACTCTGACAATTGTTGTACAGATGTGTTTACATCACATGATGGGAAAAGGTCACGTGCATGTCAGAGGTGGGGGAGGCCAACGGTTGTTATTTTCTGGCAACCAACCAACCATGTCATACCATGTGACTTCCATATAAGGCAATTTTGCGAGCACGTTATTTGATGGGACAGGCACTACCGTTGCTTTGATCGGCAGTTTTGTCTATCTGGGCTCAATCAAAGTCTCGGTTCTTATATTCCGTTAGGTAGCAGCCCTCTGGCAAAAATTCTCTGTGCATCCCATACACACTAAAAAAGGAAATGTTTCTTGTTGCATGAAAACAAACTGCGAAAGAAATAGTAACACTTTCAGTTATAAACCTACCTGAAAGTACAAGTATCAATGTGATATAGAGTGAAATTTAAACTTGTTGTTTCACAAGCCCTGTCAGCATTACAACGAGTGCTGCTTTCTTTGTATCCTGAAAGGCTTATGGAAAGTCCCAGTTTTGCTGTACCTTTCAAGGCCACTAAAGGAAGTAGTTTCAGGAATCAAGAAAGGCACATTAAAAGAGTGTCTTTCCATGTGCCTTTCAAAATCATTGAATGCATGAGTTTCAGGCATAAAGAAAGCTGCGGCATTTTTGCTATTGGTCCGGCATTGCCCGGACCAATGGCAAAAATAGCGCAGATAATGAAACTGGTCGTTTCGGGGTATCAGAAAGCCGCGCTGAAAGTGTTTCTTTCAGTCCCACTTTCTTTATTCCTGAAATTGGCTATTTCGGGGTCCTTGAAAGCTGCAATGAAACTTCGGATTTCCATGAACCTTTCATGATACCAAGACACTGCCTTTCTTTGTGACAGTGAAAAGTCTTCTGAAACAACATGTTTCAATTTCAGTTTATGTTACAATGATACTAATGGTTTTAGCCAGGATAATAACTTGAATTGATACTATGAGTTTCATGGTGGGTTTTCATCCTACCAGAAACATTTCCTTTTTCAGTGTGATATAGCTAGCCACCCCATTCATCCTCAAATACCAGTTATTCCCTTCAATTCTTGTAATTACTTAGTTGTTTGCACTGAGTCCGGACTCTGAATGACCGACCAAATGCAGAAACAGCAGTGTTCTCGCTAAGGGTTAAGCCTTAACTTCGCTTAAGCCTTAATAAGACCTTAAGTCAAGGCCTTAAGCACAGTCTTGAATGAACTGAAGCCTTAATTAAAGCCAGTCACATGATATTTCGGCACTCCAAGCAGACAAAACAGGGTGATGAGTGGTGGAAAAGCTGTGAATTATCCATAAAAAAAAGTTTGTAGATCCCCTCTGCATTTTTTTTTTGGCAAGGCACTGGCAATACTCTGACACACCAAGTAAACAATGATGGCCAACCGGCTCAAAAGAGGCACAAAATGCAGTCTGAAATGCCCTTACTCGCAAAGAATTGTGTATCTCACAGTGGACAATGTATTTAGCAACCTTTTTGTGTCATAAACCTCAGGTTATGGCTGTTGGATTGAGGGTGGGAAATTTTATCTTAACCCTTAATTTGGGCTTAACATTAAGCCCTCATTAAGCCCTAAGGCCTTAATTAAAATCACTACCCTTAATAAGGCCTTAAGGGAGAACACCGGGAAACAGGGCAAGATTACACTCAAAGATTGTTGTGGGTGGACGGTAGACATTGTAATCAACTTACAAATTGTTCAGAATACAATTCTGAACACCGGTGAACATCAAAATTTTTCCTACCGAAAAAAAAAAATTGGGCTCCACCGGCCGACCAACCAACCAGGGTACGGTCCGGAATTCACGGGCCGGCACCCCCTTGTATTGAGTGGCAGTAATTCGGAGTGCAGGTGGAAGTTGCCTGTTCGAATCAGGCCCGAGTCATACGTATAACCACAGGTTTTTTTTTTCTTGGTTCAATTTGAGGGAATCGTGAACGGCGCAAGAACACTGAACAGAGATTTTCCAGAGCCCGCGTGGCAACAGACTGCAGTTGCCAGCGCACTCGATCGTCGGAGAAGGAAAAGCACTAAGATGGACACTAAAAGAGTCGACGGTTCGGCTCCGAGAACGCACGGGCCTTCCTTGAGTACCTTGCGAAGGTGGTGGCCAGAAAGCAAGGAGTTACTTATCCCGAAATAATTTCGAATAAAAAATCAAAATCAACAACGATAAACTCCCGCACAGCCACGTCTTCTTTGTTCTCTTCCCACTCGGCTTGCTGGAGCTCCGCCCTTCCTGCACTCTTCCGAGGTTCGGGATGGCTATGAGCACAGAGCGGGGGCGCGGACAATAACCTGCATCAGGGCTAACCCGTCTTCCCGCTTCCCTTTTGTGGCCCCGGCCTCTCGCGCTCGACGATGCTGGTCTACGATGCCGCGCGCCGAGATAGATAGAAAGATCAACCCTAACGCCAAGCTCTGGAAGATTATCATACATACGGCAAGCCCGAGAATTGGATTGGAATCTGTGCGTGCGTCTAACACGGACGATTGTGAAGACGACGATGACGATGTAGGTGCCCATGCGGACGAGACTCGGGATTAAGATGCGGAAGGAAATCCGAACCAGCGGATATGGCGGGATGCGTGCGTTCCTACTCTACTCTCGCAGCGCTGCGATGGTACACCCTCCTTGCAGCAACTCGTACGCGCCCATGCCCGTGCTTCCTGTCTCCTCCACATACAGCACGCACCACACGCCTGCCCCGCCCGCCGCCGCGCTCAAGCCTCTGGGGGAGACGTTGAAGGAGCGGGAAGCGCGATACCGCGCGGCGCGGGATCGGATATTCGGCGAGGTGGAGGAGATAGGCGCTGGCGCGGCGAAGAAAGCCAAGGCCCGCGGCGTGGTCCGCAACCCCAAGGGCCCGGATACCAATACCGATGGTACGACTCCGTCCCGCGGATTTGGCGCGCGCAATCCTCCTGCGCCTCCTAGGCGTACTCCATCGCACGACTTGAAGTCGTGACACCACCTCCGCCTTCCGTCTTCACCCTTGCGCCAGCCGCGTGCGAGCCACGCTCCTCGTCTTCCCGGTAATGTGTCGACTTGCTGCTTACTTATAATCATAATCAAAGTTTTCACGCTTCGCTTCACGGAAGAGTTCGCGCATTGGCGGGAAAACTCTTCGTCCTTATCACTTATCACTCTTCAGCTTCATCCAATCATCCTTCCCTTGTTGAAATTCTGGGTCCATCCGCCGACCATACTGCGCGGTCAGTAGACCTCCGACTTGAAGAATCGCAATCCGTCCCGGTCCTGCTGGCTTGGCGGCGTACGCACCCTCACCCTCACCCTCACCCCACACTTGGTACGATTACTAGCATTCGTTGTCTTTCTCGCATGCCCGCTCTCGCTCTCTCGCCTTCGCCTTCCCTGCCCGAGTCGCCCATCGTCCGCAGGAGCCATTAACTACATCTTGAGCTTCGTGTTGTTTTCCTTCGCTAGGCAGCGGCGCCCTCCCTTTATTCGCGGTTGCGGTGGTGAACTTCGTTCTTGTTATCTCTTTCATTTGTCTCAATATAAGCAAAGGTGTAAGCAGTCCTACCTACAGTCAACGTGCAGCAACCCTTGCCTATAAGCGACTCGGTAGCGGGCGGTCCGGATCCATCATTCTTGCGCATCTCCATCGACGTGAGCTGGAAGCTGCCTGTTCGACTCAGGCCGGAGTCATCATCCATGAACAAGGAAGCTTTGTTTTGTTGCGCCGGACGATAGAGCGCATCAGCCTATTCGCATTATCCGCACCTTCGACTCTGACTCTGATATGATGGAATCTGCAATTAGCAGGGAGGTTTACATTTGCCTACCGACGAGATGCAGTTGGGTATTCCTTGCTCCCTTCGCGTTATCGACTCAAGCCCCCGAGTCATTAATTGTATATGTGCAATGCAGCGGTGCGTCAAGTCGACTGTTCAAAGCTCTCGCCGCCGGACGCCAATAATTATGAGATTAATTATTTGCATGAAATGGACACTATCGATGAAGCTGCCAGCCTGACGGGATGATAATATGTTTCTAGTCACTCGATTTATCTACCGCTTTACGCCGAATGAATCTTGAGGCCTGAGGGCTGAGCATCCGTCTCACCCATCCACATGTGAATCCCGTCCCTAGCAGCGACTCCGTGGCGTCCACAATTAATTCTCATGTCGGCTTTTCACCTCTTCTCTTTGTCAGGGAAGCCGGGTCAACCTGTGCGACTCGGGCCCGAGTCCGGTGTCTTCAAGCTTTGCTTTTCAACGATTTTTGATTTTGTGCGGTTTTGGATTGGCTCGGCAGGCCGAGTGGCACACTCATTAATACTCGACGACTGACATGGTGGAATCCGGATCCGGACTCAGTAGCGAGAGGCAGCTGCATGCATGGATATGAGTTTTACCTGCCATGCGCCATCCGATTCACAGTCAAATACATACGCGTACGGCTACAGGCGGTGCGACGACTCAGGAGTCGGTCGCGGGCGGTCCGTAAGGGTCCAACCTTTTTCGTGTATAAACGTTTATACATGGTTTTAAAATGGTTATAACCGTTTTCGTGTACAGTTCGGCTCAAACAGT